TGGTAGAAGGCCAAGATCCTTGACAATTTCTTAGCCCTCGTGGACATTCTTTCCAGGTGCAAATAAATCGTCTTAATCCACGAACGACAGACCTAAACGGCATAAAACAGGTGGGGCCGAACGAATTCTCTGCAGGTTTATCTAAACAGTTCCTTATCGATAATAGTGTATGTAGATAAACTAGGATAATGAGCCCTGCCAAGTCACTAGCTTGACTGTATGTCTTTTAAACTTTTAAAGGATATTTAGATATTTCGCAGCCCAATGTTTTCAAGCTTGGATATGCAGAGGCTTAAGTGTTCTAGAGTCTACAAATCGATAAAATCGTGCCAAAAAGTTGTAACGCGAAAATACTAAGCAACAGTGCTAAACGTCTACCGCCTAGGATGATAAACAAAATTGTGAATAAAGAATAACTTGATATGGATTCACGAAATCCGTTCGAGTTCGGGACCCGGCGGTACCGTGAAGGATGATATACCCAAGTTGCTGGTCGAGTTTCTTCGTCCGAACTCGCGTTGGTTGTGAAGTGCTTGCTTCACAGTGCGATTGACAAATGTTCTGGAGCCCGAGTGTGGTCGTGTATGACGCCAGTTAGTCAGTGCAAATGTATATAGTGTCAGAACACGCATAATAGCAGCAGAAGTAGCTCAACCACGCATCACGTGACAGTTAGCCGGAAAAATAGGTTTTATTTCAAAAATGCACAAATAAAACGTTTAGTACATTTAAGCAAAAGTGGATCAGATATACACACCTTGAAAACAAAGGTACAACGTCCTACATAATTCTTTCCACCAGAACGTTCGTGTTGCAGAACAAACGCTCAACAAAAGGTATAAAAACAGCTTAAACAACAAAGTCCTTAAGATTGGTAGGAAAACGGACGTGTCTACCAGAACGGGTGGAAAATGATGGGGGTACCGAAGGTCGGAAGGGATGGAGTGGCTATGCAAGGTGGGCAGTGGCGTGCGACTGGAAGTGGTAAACGGAGCGGAAGACGAAGGTTCGGTAGAAGTGGACGGGCCAACGTGCGGCCGTGTGCACTCAACGTTGGTCGGCTTA